CAGAGTTTAAATGGCATTGTTGAATAAATTTTGTATTTTGTCTTGAATTGTATTTTTAACATTTCAAGTTAATGGGCTTACTTATAGGTTTGATTTTTTTTTATCCCACCTTTCTCCTACCGTAGAGACCTAAGACAAATAACAATGAATACAAAACAATGCTAATTAAATACAACTCAAAGATATTAACAAATAAGCATAAAATTGAAGAAAACAGATAAACAATTTATACTGTCAGATTAAAAATATTGAGATGCATTATAACTTTATGCCAACCTTAATATCCCAGTCACACTGCAGATAATTGTTTTTGCTTGCCAATAAAAGATGAGATGGGACATAACTATCCTAGCATTTCTAGAGAAGGACTTCCAAAAAGTCTAGTGACAGTGACTGAGATGGTCTTCTCTCTTATTCCCACCAAACTTGTAGACCAATGGTTCTTAACCTGTGGGCCGTAGACCACCAGTGGGCCACGAGGATGAAAATCTGGTTTGCAAGCTTCCTTCCTCTTTATTTATTTTATTTCTGTTCCTTTTGCACCGCCTGCCACTCCTTCCCTGTTGCTGACCATGGCATATGTTCCGTATCAGAAACTAGAACAGATGTGGTCCATACAATGCAATTTTCTGAATCAGCACCCCCAACGGAATCTAAAGTTGACCAAAAACTGAATCGTAACCCCCTTTGGTACTAATATTGGAGAGTGGCCCCTGGTCAAAATGGTCCATGATCAAAAAGGAGGTTGGGGACCACTTCTGTAGACTACGCAGAAAGACAGGGGACAATTTTTTCATGCTAATCTGAACCCAAGGGCACATCTAAACTGTAGAATTAATGCAGTTTGACACCACTTTAAGTGCCATAGCTTAATCCTGTAGATTCCTAGGAATTGGAGTCTGGTGAGACTCAGGCTATCTTTGTCAGAGAAAGATAAAGACTTTGTAAAGCTAAATCTCTAATGAAACCATAGTGTTGAGTCATGGCAGTTAAAGTGGTGTGAAACTGAATTAATTGTACAGTGTAGATGTGCTCCAAAACGTCAGTTTAATTTTTTTCTGGATTTTGATAAGTTTTGATGAGGTTTGAGGTTTCAAAGAAAAGGAACATTATAGATCAGGCATGGGCAAACTTTGGTCCTCCAAGTGTTTTGGACTTCAACTCCTACAATTCCTAACAGCCTACCAGCTGTTAGGAATTGTGGGAATTGAAGTCCAAAACTCCTGGAGGGCTGAAGTTTGCCCATGCCTGTTATACACATTTTACAATGTTTTGGGGTTGTTAAAGCTTTCTACATTCAGTGGGGGGGGGGGTGTACAGAAGTGTAACAATGAGGAAACAACATGAAGGCATTCTGTTTCATTAGAATTTTGGCCTCCCCCCAATAGCATTTTCTTCCAGCTTTTTAGCATTCCAGATATTTAACATTGCTCACACCAAAAACTTTTACATACTAGCTGTGTTTGCATTTCTCCTCCTCTCCTTTAGATTCTTAAAGTGTAAAATGTTGCATCAGAAGTCATGCCCCATATTTATTATAAACATTCAAATTGGCTGCCATTTTGATACCTGGCTTGAGTAAAATAACATTTTCTGTGATGTTTGGAAATTCTAATATGATAGACTCCTTTAGATCATCTAAATTGTTTATGAGACATTATTTTTGGTAGATTCTGTTTTTCTAAATATGCGGCAAAAGTTTTAAGTTACTGTAAAGCTAGTCCTTTTGACGAGCAATTCTGTTTCCTGTAGTTGTCTGAAGTTAATCTGTCTGATTCAAATTAAACTCCAATTCATCCTCACTTGGCAGTTATAAAACAGATCTTGTAGGTTACTTTTTAAAAAGTTACTACGAACTCAAATGAATTGTGAAGGTCTATGCTCATTCATAAAGACTGAATCCAGCAGGTACTCATTTACTAAAGCAGTTGAGCTGTTTTTCCACTCCGTTTTCTTATCTCTTGTCACAAGGTCAGCTCCTGGAATTTGCACTGATATTATGTTTTGAATATCTACCAGAAGTTCTCATATATCCCAGACCTTGTGTCTGTCACAAGCAGTGGCGCTCAGAGCTGTGCGCCATGCCAGCGATAAAGCCATTCACATATTTGGGCTGGGCCTAAAACAGGGTTTGATGTAAGATCGTACTTAAAACACTTATTAAAATCACGTTATGCAATAATTCTCATAATTCCACATGCTTTCATGAGGCCCAGTATATCAGTTGTCAGACATATACCTAAGTACAATAGGGGGAAATTAAAGAGAGGAGGAGAAAGAATAATATACACATAGACACACTACATTTCCCCCAAAATTGGAACGAAAGGAGGCTTAAACACTTTAAAACTGAAATGGATGACACAGTTTTTGTTTTATTTCTTTCATATGTGCTTGTGTTAATTAGACTATATATTGAATTAAGAACGTTTTAAAAATAAAAGAAGAGTTTACTTTTTTTTTCCCTTTATAAACAGTCAGTTCCTGAAAGCTTGTAGTTTTTCACCTGTGGCCAGACAGTTTGGAGAGCTGTATTCCTGCCCTTGATGAGGCTAGTGAGTGACACATTTCACTCTCTTCCACTAAGGAACTCACTGGCAAGGCCAACTAACTGGTGGCTTCATTGGTAGTGCAAATGGTCAAGCTTTTCAAAGACAAGTCCGTTTGCTTCAAGCTTGGTGGAGGACTTGCTGATCCAACTGGGCACACCATAGCTTGGAGCTTTCCCAGGTAGGCAGAGGTGCCCCTTGCAGATGTTCCAGGAGAGCATGGAAAGGGAAAAGAAGGCAAAAATAGATCTCAAAAAGCCATTGAATCACAAAATTTGCTCTCACCTCTCTGAATTTGCCATATCCATCTCTTGGTTGATAAGTCATGCTTGGGGGTCACATGATTGCTGCTCCTTTGTTTGAGATAAAGGATGTAGAGTCATGTGGCATCTCTCTTACTGACCTTCTCAATAGACTAACACCTGGTATCAACTATTGTTATTTCAAAGACAACTAGCCTGTTGGTTTGTAGGAGGTTCTTGGGTTTCACCCGTAAAGGTCCAGTTGGCGCTTGCAGGGTTGGCCAAGGGAGCCAGTCTGACTTTACTAGAAAGGGAATTTCAGAGCTTAGGAGAAGCCACTGGGGAAGCCTTCTCCCATGTTCCCACCAGAGATGCTTGTGAAGGTGACAGGGCTGATAAGTATTAAGCCCTTCTCTGAAGATCTCAACACTAGATTCAGAATGAGGACTGAGTATTAATCAGACTCACGTTGCATTAATCAATTTGCACTTTAACAACAACAACAACAACAGGCTTTATTTATATCCCGCTCCCTCTCCCTGAAAAGACTTGGGCAGTTTTAAAATGTGAGCAATATTATGACAGCAGTAGTGTGTGTGTGGTTGAATTGTCTAGTGGCCTCATGAATTTCATAGAGTTTTCTTAGGCAAGTAATACTAAAAGGTGGTTTACCTTTTCCTTGCTGGCTGATAATGCAGTAGTCCTTTGTATCCACTGGGATTTAGTTCCAAAACCCCTCATGGATGCCGAAAGCCATGAAGGCTCAAGTTCAATTGCATACAATGGCACAGTAAAATGAAACCATTGGTGGTTGAATCTGTGAATACAGAGGACTGCACAATCATCTTAGCATTGTGGGTCAAAATTAGCACTTAAATTGAAAAAGGACACCATTCTCTCTATTAACATTCAGATAAACAGAACTAAAGCCCTTGACTTAACAGCTTCGTGCTGGAATTTCTCTTAAAGTTCCTTTTTTCCCAGGATGGTAAAATGTATATTGTCTCACAACGATGGGTATTATAGCTTTCTTTTTGTTTGTAAATCCAAACATTTGATAATAAATTTAAAAAACCTCCATAACAGAGATTCACAGTATATGACTCTTAAAAAGTGGGAGGGAACATTTGTAGGAAAGACACTAAAAGGTGAAATGTGACACTCTGGATATTTTAATTCAGTTGCAATAATGATTTCTTATTTGAAAATACTAAAATATTTGAAGCCACTGTATAATCTCATGATCTTGCACTGCTCTTCTTCAGAAAGATCCACCAGACGCTTATAGAAGTGACTATCCAATCCATTTTTTAAAATAATGAGATAAATTCAAGAACATTTCAGCTTTCATCCTGGGAAATGGCTTATTTGGCAGAGATCCAGACTGTAAAGTTGACAAGTGTTTTCATTTTGTGTAAAATAAATGAATCAGAAGATACAATTTCCACCTAAAGTATAGTGGGTGATTTCTGTGGCCTGATGAGAGGAGTTTTTAGAAGTTTCTCTGTTATTTTTATTGTTTGGTGCTTCTAAAAATGTCAAGTTTTAAAATATTTCTTGGTTTAAAAAAATTCCAACTTTAAGGATTTAGCATTTAAAATATTTCCAGTAGAGTCTCATTTATCCAACATAAATGGGCCGGCAAAACTTTGGATAAGCGAAAATGTTAGATAATAAGGAGGGAAAAAAGGAAAAGCCTACTAAACGTCAATTATATTATGATTTTACAAATTATGCACCAAAATATTATGTTTTACAACAAATTGACAGAAAAAGCAATTCAGTACATGGTAATGTTATGTAGTAATTACTGTATTTACAAATTGAGCACCAAAACTTCGCAAACAGTTGTGCATCTGGGCGGGAGGCAGACTGCGTTGGATAATGCAGAGCATTGGATGACCGAAGGTTGGATAAGTAAGACTCTACTGTAATTTACATCCTGATTTCCTCCCGACAGAGCACCTGGGTGTGTTGTAGGGCTGGCAACAGCAAATCTAGAAAAGGTTTCACTCACACTTCCTTCTTTCAACAAAATTCATAGATATTTACTTGCTTTGATAAGTTAGATGGTGGATGCTGGGGACAATGGCAACTTCTGTCATGAGTGGTGACAGCCTTTCTTCAAGTTTTCTTTCTCTGAAATGTGTTTTCAATGACAAAAAAGTCTGGGTTTCTGAACTGTTTGTTTTCCCCAATTTTGTTAAAGGTGGTGTCTTCAGCAATGTCCACTAGGGGAGAGAACGCCAGTCCGGAGACTAATTCCCTCAAGTATTCTGGTCAAGAAGAGCTTTATCCAGGTGTCAGCCTGAGCTCCACTGCAGAAGTGACGGCCTCAGTGAGACAGGAGTCTTCCTGGTGTGCCATCGCTCTTGCATGAATTGGCGACAAGTAAATGGCATTGGAGACTTGCACTGGGCAGCAGCCATCTACACTTGTGTGGTGCATTTTTCTCCTTTCAAGCAGTCCAAGAAGTGATGACAAATGAGGACAGGAACATTCATTGCCCTCAACGTATCTGTGCCTTGATTCTAGAAATGTTTACTCCCAGTGGTCTGTGTGATTGTCCAGCTCCTCAGCAATGCAAGAGACTCGAAGGAGCCTGAACCACTTATGTTCAATCGACAAAGGAGTGCCTATCTGCACTATTGATAGATCTTCACCACAACTACCAGTACTGCCTTGTGTAATTGTGGATGGTGTATTCATTTCACTCCCACTCACCCAACATCCAGGATCTGACTGGTATTGACATGGTTTTGTAGACAAATTAGGCTAAGCTTGCATTCTAAAGGATAACGCAACACAGAAGAGCTAAATGACTGTGCAACTTGTTCCAGTGTGCGGATCTTGGACTTCATGGTTCGATGTGATCTCCTCTCACAGCTCAGTGTTCCAGCAAGTGCCTTCTGCTCACCACATGGCCTTATTGTTTCTCAGTAGCTTTTCTCAAGTGGAATTCCAATGAAGGCCAATGAAGGAAATCACATTCGGTACACCTTTCTCAAGTTAGAACATGCTAATGAGAACATGCTATAAAATACATGTGTTTTTGGTGTTGACATATACTGTGATGGAGGAGGATAAATGTTTCTACATTGTGACTGAACAGTCAGAATTTACTAAACAGGGTAGCATTCAGAATTTCACCCCCTTCCATTGATACAATAATTTTGGTTTTTATATAAGTGCAATTTGTGTTGCAGCAATCAGTGTTAAATCATAAGCAGAAGATTTAACAGCAGTTTTTATATGAATGAATGGAATGAATGTAAACCTTTTAACTTAATGGTACGTAAATAATTTAATAGAGAAAAGTTAACCAGGCATCCTGATAGGGTTTTTTTTTTATTGCATCAAAATGTTCTACTTCTGTGTTTCTGATTTTTAAAACAAAACTTCCAAGAACAAATGTTTTCTCAGGAAAAAAATAATGACCCTTGTTGTCTATCTGGTCATAAGCTTTATATAGAAGTCATCCCCACTCTCTTGCCACTGAATAAAATATGTGCTAGAAAAAGTATCAATTGCAGTGAAACTTGACTACCTAGTGGATAAATGTGTAAATACTCCAGCAGAATTGTGAGGCATCTTTAAAATGTTAGGATGTAGTCTGTATAATGTAACCAAGCTATATCTAGGTTGGTTGACATTGAAACAATAGCAACAATGGGATGTCTTGTCATTTGGACAGTTGTCTTCGTGGGAGGTTTCAAAATAAAAGGGTTATGTGTTCTTTCTGTACAATGTGATTTCTCTTTAGTACATTACAAAATAGATTGCTATTCCTCGAGCATATCTACATGCTAGTTTGCAAAGGAATTAGGTAAACAAAAAAGATTATTCAGATTTCTTTCATCCGTGGAAAGAAATAATTTTAACTTCCCTCAGTCAACAACACAAAGATAGGAATTATCAATGATAGTATAGCAGTAAGTAAAGGTAAAGGATTCCCCTGGCATTAAGTCTAGTCATGTCTGACTCTTGGTGTGGTGCTCATCTCCATTTCTAAACTGAAGAGCTGGTGTTATCCACAGACACCTCCAGATTCATGTGGCCACCATGACTGCATGGAGCGCCATTACCTTCTCGCAGAAGCGGTACCTATTGATCTACTCAAATTTGCATGTTTTCAACTTTTATGTTGGCAGAAGCTGGTGCTCACCCCGCTTCTTGGTTTTGAACCGCCAACCTTTCAGTCAGCAAGTTCAGTAGCTCAGCAGTTTAACCCGCTGCACCACCAGGTGGCGCAGTACATACCTATTTTATCATCTTCCTACATTCTTTGTTTTATACTGTTAACTTCATACACATATGTTCATGGGAAATCATAGCAGACCTGTTGGTGAGATGGAAAGATTGCGATAATGATAGATCGCCCAATGCTTCCTTTTAGAATACCTTTCTAAAGTTCATGAGTATAGATGTGCTTTTAAAAGCAACTTCCCAATGTTCATGAAGGCTGGAATGTGATGCTCTTTACCATGTCTGAAAAACAAAAAGGGTAATAAAAATAAATTACACATAGGCCATATCTACACTAGCCGCTTAATCCTGGGTCATTCTGAACCTGCTGTGGTGGTATCCAGCCGGTCTGAGATTTCATTGTCATCACAGAACAATGGATGTCAGAACTAGGTGTGCAGGTGAACTAGGTCATGCAGATGCCCCATTCTAAAACCTGTATATGCTATTGCTCAAAGCAAGCTCTGTGGCTGATGAGAAGCAAAAGTGATACAGGGATGAGCCATCCTCTTGCTCTGCATATCCATCAACCCAAAACAGACAAGCAGATACTATAGAGGTAACAAAGAGCAAAGTTGGCAAGGAATTGCAAATAGTCAACTGTGTCCTGACAAACAGCTCAGCTTATGTTAGCCCTAACATGAACTGCAGTGGCACAATGGTTTACACCCTTGTGCCGGCTGAACTTCTGATCTGAAAGTCGGCAGTTCAAATCTGTGAGATGGGGTGAGCTTCCGTCTGTCAGCTCCAGCTTCCTGTGTGGGGACATGCCTCCCACAGGATGGTTAAACATCCGGGTGTCCCCTGGGCAACATCCCTGCAGACGCCAATTCTCTCACACCAGAAGCAACTTGCAGTTTCTCAAGTCGCTTCTGACACAATAAAAAAAATGTTAGCCCTAACTATATGTTGGGGAAATGTTAGGAGGGTGAGTTATATGGGTCTTGATATGTGTATTCATCAGTATCTTGATGTATGGGAGCCAAGCACCTTCATTTGAGTTTGCAGTAGCTGATTAATCCATGACGTGCCTCAACAGATGCACTTTTTGACCCGTACCAAAGGGCAAATATGTATATTAGAAAAAAGTAAAGAAAGAACATGTGATGAAAGAGGCTGATGTCATGGAATATTTTCTCCTTGCCACTTTTTCCTTGCTGACTCTATGGAAAATAAAATCATGGAAATACAGGAAGAAATGTCCTGACATCTCAGAAACATAGGGTAAAGGAGACTTAGGCTAGTCCAACTAATGTCACCCTCTTGCTTCAAGGATTTTTCTGTTCCAAGGGTGACTAACTCAGGATCAATCTCAACGCATTTCAACAGAGTCAGATGACACATTCAAGAAAGATCTTTGGGTGATGTCCAGTCTACTGGTCAATAGTCCAAAATGAAATGTTTGAAGTGTATAAATATGATATTTTTATACAAACTCAAGACCATCCAGTACTGGAATCAGCTCTTTAGAGCTGCCAATCCCAACCTAAAGAGTTGTAGTGGAAGTTATAGCTATAGATGAAAGTTGGAGTTAAACATATCTGTAGTGCTAATCTCAGTTAGAATTAGCTGGTGTATAATGTCAGGCAAAAGTATTTCCCAGTCTAGCTGCACCAGTCCAGCTGTTTTGACTAACAATGGCGGGGCCTGAATGTGAGATCTAGTTATAGGAACTATGTACTCCATCGGTAAATTAAGCTGTCTCCCCACATTTTGTTTGAATGCTTTATTGCAAGCTTACTTATTTTCAAAATAATCTTAACAGATTAGAGAAATGGGCCACAACTAGCAAAATGAAGTTCAGTGACAGATGTAAGATTAGGCAGAAAAAAAAGAAATGCAAAGATACAGAATGGGGGAAGTTGGCTGGCTCGATAGCAGTACGTGTGAAAAAGATCTTGGGAGTCCTCGTGGACAACAAGTTAAACATGAACCAACAATATCATGCAGTGGCAAAAAAGCCAATGGGATTTTGGCCTGCATAAATAGTATAGTGTCTAAATCCAGGGAAATCATGCTACCCCTCTATTCTGCCTTGGTCAGACCACACCTGGAATCACACTGTGTCCAATTCTGGGCACCGCAATTGAAGAGAGATATCAACAAGCTATGTGTCCAGAGGACGGCGACTAAAATGATCAAAGGTCTGGTGAACAAGCCCTATGAGGAGCGGATTAAAGAGCTGGGCGTGTTTAGCCTGCAGAAGAGAAGGCTGAGGGGACATGATGGCCATGTATAAATATGTGAGGGGAAGTCATAGGGAGGACGGAGCAAGCTTGTTTTCTGCTGCCCTGGAGACTAGAACACAGAACAATGGCTTCAAACTACAGGAACATTAGGAAGAACATCCTAACTGCGGGAGCTGTTCAGTAGTGTAACTCTCTGTCACAAGGTGTGGTGGAAGATCCTTCATTGGAGGCTTTTAAACAGAGGCTGAATGGCCATCTGTTGGGGGGTGCTTTGAATGCAATTTTCCTGCTTCTTTTCAGGGAGTTGGACTGGATCGCCCATGAGGTATCTCCCAACTCTATGATTGTATGATTCTATGATTCTAAGTAGCACTTTCTTGCATGCTTACTTATATGGTTCAATGAAAATATACAGAAATGTTAGCTTGTGCCCCATTGTGATGGAAAAAAACCTCCTGCTCCAGAGCTAAAGTCAAGGCAGCCTCTACAAATCCCCTTTGGAGATTGATGGTGCCTTTGTAATAACTTGTTTTGTTATGTACAGTGGAGTTGGATTCCATCAGAGCAAAACAAGAACAAAAATTCTTCAAAGCGTTTTTGCTGAAACAGGGAGGTGGGGAGCATTTGTCATGACTCTTTTCCTCATCGGCAGAATTCCAGCTCTGAGAAACCTGAAGTTCTTTCTTTTCTTTTTGAGAAAAATAGTCATCTCTAAGTATGGAGTCCTTTCTGGAAAATGTCTTAACAGTCAAAAGGTTATGACAATTCGTACATTTTAAAACAAGAACACAAGCAGACACAATTTCTCAGCATGCCTCCTTTCTTCTCTCTTGCAAATGTTTCTGAGCAAGGAAATAGCAACTTTTTTCCAAGGTTATCAGTAATGGCTAATAACTATCCCAGGGCATTATATAAGAATGGAGCTTAGAGAAGTTACTTTTCGGACCATACCTCCCGGAATCATCCCAGCCAGCCTGGCAGGGAAAAGTAAATGTAAAGGTTTCCTCTGACTGGTTGTGTCCGACTCGGGGGGTGGCACTCATCTCCATTTCTAAGTCAAAGAGCCAGCGTTGTCTCTAGACACCTCCAAGGTCATGTGGCCAGCATGACTGCATGGAGCACCGTTACCTTCCTGCAGAAGCAATACCTATTGATCTCATATTTGCATGTTTTCGAACTGCTAGGTTGGCAGAAGCTGGGCCTAACAGCTGGAGCTCACCCCGCTCCTCAGATCCAAACTGTCAATTGGTTAAGTGGACGAACACAGAGAGTGCTCACTAATGCTTCCTCTTCATCTTGGAAAGAAGTGACAAGTGGAGTGTCGCAGGGTTCCGTCCTGGGCCCGGTCCTGTTCAACATCTTTATTAATGACTTAGATGAAGGGCTAGAAGGCATGATCATCAAGTTTGCAGACGACACCAAATTGGGAGGGATAGCCAATAGTCCAGAGGACAGGAGCAGAATTCAAAACGATCTTGACAGATTAGAGAGATGGGCCAAAACTAACAAAATGAAGTTCAACAGTGACAAATGCAAGATACTCCACTTTGGCAGAAAAAGTGAAATGCAAAGATACAGAATGGGGGATGCCTGGCTCGAGAGCAGTACGTGTGAAAAAGATCTTGGAGTCCTCGTGGACAACAAGTTAAACATGAGCCAACAATGTGATGTGGCGGCAAAAAAAGCCAATGGGATTTTGGCCTGCATCAATAGGAGCATAGTGTCTAGATCTAGGGAAGTAATGCTACCCCTCTATTCTGCTTTGGTTAGACCGCATCTGGAATATTGTGTCCAATTCTGGGCACCACAATTCAAGAGAGATATTGACAAGCTGGAATGTGTCCAGAGGAGGGCGACTAAAATGATCAAGGGTCTGGAGAACAAGCCCTATGAGGAGCGGCTTAGTGAACTGGGCATGTTTAGCCTGAAGAAGAGAAGGCTGAGAGGAGATATGATAGCCATGTATAAATATGTGAGAGGAAGCCACAGGGAGGAGGGAGCAAGCTTGTTTTCTGCTTCCTTGGAGAATAGGACGCGGAACAATGGCTTCAAACTACAAGAGAGGAGATTCCATCTGAACATGAGGAAGAACTTCCTGACTGTGAGAGCCGTTCAGCAGTGGAACTCTCTGCCCCGGAGTGTGGTGGAGGCTCCTTCTTTGGAAGCTTTAAACAGAGGCTGGATGGCCATCTGTCAGGGGTGATTTGAATGCAATATTCCTGCTTCTTGGCAGGGGATTGGACTGGATGGCCCATGAGGTCTCTTCCAACTCTTTGATTCTATGATTCTATGATTTTATGAAGTGCAGCAGCT